GGGGGGGGGGGGGTACTCGTGTTTTGAATGCCTCAGTTGTTAGGTCATGGACCACGCGTCCATTAGAGGACGGAGCATTGTTCTCACAGGACCGGACGGGGGGGTCATGGTCGCACTTGCTGATGTCTTCACACGGGATGCCCTTGCATCCCTTCAAAGGTCGGGACGGGACGCTGTGATCCGGTGTCGCCGAGTGGGGACGGTGCGGGGCGTGTGCATGTGTTTAGATATGACTGCGCTCTACGCTGTTGTATTGCGGAAATGGTCGAGCACGACTCGTTTTTCCCAACATTTTTGGAGGCTCTAACCATGACGTCGCTTACGTCGACCACCTGTCGGGGTTGTTTTCGCGCTGTATGTCTGGCCTTGGGATGTCCGCCGCCCCCTCTCCTCTGTTCCGTGTTCGTGTTTTGTGGACGAACGAAAAGGGATTACGGCCGGCGAAGAAGACGCTTCGGGAAAACCCCGGAGCAGATGGCCGAGCCGTAGTGTGACCAGCACCCGCAACACACCGCCGTCCTTGTAGGAGCAGGTGGACTGCACACAAGACACACTACACTTGACTGCATGGTTTAACGCGTTGGGTTTCGATTGCTCCTCGAACGCCTGGTTGCGTGAGGGATTTTGTCGTTAGGGACAACAATGGCCGCGGCTCCATCTTTGCGGTGGCACATGCGCGTTTTTTGCGGGTATTAGAGTGTGCGGCCGGCGGATTGCTGCATTTCCGTGAAAGAGGGAAAATATCGCCGATGAATTGAAGCGCTTTTCTCCAGTTCAGGCTACCGCCCAAGCTTGAAACTGTTTGCGGATCGTGGGGCGTGCTCCTACATGTTCCATCTATCGTGGATGCATGTACATTGGCGAGTGGAGCTTCCGGCGCAAATATTTGCTTTCTCTTGTGTATCATGCATGGGCGCTGAGATGTGAGACAGGAAAGACACTTCGCTCTCTAAGTAAGACACCTTGCTTGCGACAATCAATGGACACAGAGCAGTTTCGGGTCGTAGAACTCTCTCGGCATGCCGCGTATGAAAACACAGACCATGAAAGTAAAAACGAAAGAGTTGCTTTGACCAATAATAACCAGAAACGGATTTACCCAGGTACTTCATCACCACTTTAGGGTACAGTATGAAATCAAAACGCCTGCGCCCCCAGGCTGTCAGCTGATTGCCCGAAAAATCATTGTACCCATTTCTGAAGATCCCCCCATCAGGTACAACTTCCGCTGGAATTAGGACCCTCTGGTGTGACCGATATTGGTTACTGGTATACCCGGAAGAGGTCAATTTTGTACCCAGACATGGTCGTGTCATCCGGGCCCCCGACGCTCTAGCATGTGTGTGTGTGTTTTTTTATTACTAGCATCGACCGCGCTAACCGGCTGACCAATGAAAAGACGTCAGCCT